TGAAAACTATAGGAATGTTCACAGCTTTTTCAAATATTTTGAAGATAAAAATAACTGCTTAAATTACAAAAAACAATATTAAGTATTATGGAAAATTAGAAGATACAAGACAAAAAGAAGAAATATTTTAAACAAAGACAAAACTTTAAGTGTAGAAATCAGCTGACAGGTTGTCAGGAGCTAGCGGTAGGGACATAGTCACTGCTGCAGAGGGACTGAGGGGACAGCCATAATCTCTGCCAGCACTATCCAATAATTGAGCTACAAATGCAAGTAAAAAGTAAGAGCTAATAATTTTTAGAGACTTTAGGTGTGTGTGTGTGTGTGTGTGTGTGTGTGTGTGTGTGTCTGTTTTTCCTACACAGCTTAGTTTAGAAAGGACTGGTGAAAATTTAATTAGTGAAGTTTTAAAAAAAGGATTTGCATGTGTTTGACAAGATAAAGATGAGCACAAATTGTTTTGAGAAAGGACCCAATCAATGCTAATTCTAGGAAAGAGCTTGTCATTTCTGTTTCATAACCACTTCTCTTGCAATAGCATTAAAAGTCACTTGTCTCGGACTTCCTTCTGCTTCTGTTACATAGCATGCTTTGTAGGAACTATGTTGACAGTCAATCTGTCTAGCTGTAGGCATTTTTGGGGTGTGTATGGGGGGGATGGAGCACATACCTCTTGATAGGAGGAGGTTGTGGAGCAGTTGGTTGTGGGAGAGTAAGTTTAACTTTCAGAACTAAAGCCAGGAGGTATTTTTGGTTGTGGAACAATGTGTCATGGGTTATAAATAATGCCATTTGCCATTTGGCAGCTATTTTGGTGTTTTCTTTTTACACCTAAAAAAAAATCCATGTTTACATTTTGTCAATACTGACCATACAAATGAATAGGTCTAGGAGAAATAGGTGGAAAGAATAACTTCTAAATAGTCTTAAAGCCCAAATTCTTGGACTGAATATTAAAACGATAAAATTCATTAGGGTCGGAAAACCAGTCCCATAAGTGTAGGCTGGGAAGACACACTGATAGATTATTCCACAACATTCGAGAGGACCAACTGTGGTGTCCTGGTTTTGAACCTGACAAGCTGCGGAATACATTAAAGAGGTAGGCCCCAGGTTAAGAAGGAGGTAAGCTCTTCGCCTTTTGTTTCTTCTTCTTAGTTCAGTATCCTGTGCTCTAGAAGCAGTTAATCTAAGTCTGCCCCTTTCAAGATGAATTTTGTCTACCTCAGAGGTGATCAAATTTCATTGTGCATTGAAAATGTAGGTCCCTGTCCCCAGAAATTTCTAGTTTAATAGATAGAAATGGGGCCTAGAATCTGCACCCTCAACATGCCCTTGCTGGTAGACTCCTCCTTGGGAAACACTGATTTAGAACAACCAGTTAGACTTTTATTAGGTTTTCTCTATTATCCGACACTATGATGAATTCAAATAAAAGGCAGGGTTCCTGTTGTGAACATGCTCACGCGGCTTACAGCACAAGGCAGGCTTCTTTAGTGGGACAGTTGGGATGAAGTGAAGGAGCTCAGAGCCCAAGGGCCATGCCACCAACAAGTGACACAAGGGTATGGGGTGGATTCAGTTTAGTGGAGACGAAATTGGGTGTCTGGGCACTTTGAGGAGGGAGGTAGTGTGAGAACCAAGAGGGAGGATGGCATCACCTGGGGGAGGAGCTTTATTTTGATATTGGCTGCAGTTTTGGACACCAAGGAACTGTTAACAGGCAAAAAGAAATACGGAAATTAGCAAGTAGACATGAAGGAAATCTCATTGTCAGTGGTTCTTGAACTTGAGCGTGCCCTAGAATCACCTGCAGGACTTGTTCAAGCACAGACTGCTGAGTCCCACCCTCGGAGTTTCCCATTCAGTAGGTCTGGGATGGGGCCTGAGAATTTCCATGTCTAACAAGTTCTCAAGTTCTGCTGATGCTGCTTGGTTTGGGGATCACACTGTGAGACTCACGGCTCTTATTGAATGTGTAAACAATCTATAGGTGAGGATAGGAACAGATTGTGGGAGCAAAATGGAGAAGGGGATGGTCATCTGGGTGTTACGTGACCTACAACTCCTATCACATGGACTTATCTTTTCCCCCTTTTCTTCTGAGATTTGTTTACTTTTAGGGCAGCTGGTCCAACCAAGAATGTTCTGGGGGTGGGGACAGGAATGGGGTCATCGAGAATAATTTGAGAACTACAAGTCTTATATTCAGCATGGAGCCACAGTGCTTTAAAAACTCTGGTCATAATTGTATTTCTCAGATTTTATAAAGAAAAATGTAAGAAAGGTATTTCATATTTTAGTACTGACTTTTACTCTAAGGCATATTAACCCACTGCTCTATGGAAGTCTCAATTCCATAGAACTCATGACCTTAAACCCTCAAACTTGCTCCTCCTCCAGTGCTCTTTATAAACAGCATCATCATTGGCCCACTTTTTCGTGGCACAGGCTGGGTGTCTTCCTGGACATCATTCCTTCTCTCTCACACTTTCTCCCCGCAGCTGGTCAGTCACAAAGCCCTGTCACTTCCATCTTTTAATACAACCTGTCTACTGTGTCCTCATCATTTTGCCCACCAATTCTCACCTGGACCTTCCCCCATATTCTCTGGCTTCCTTCGGATTCCTCACCTATGTAGGACCCAGAAAGATTTTTTTAAGAAACACAAACTCCCTATCAGGTCACCCCTGTGCTTAAGACCCTTCAGTGACAGCCCTGAATAATCTTTAGATTCTTAAAATGGCCCTCATGGGCCCTGCATGACATGGTCCCTGCCAACATCTTCCTCTCTGTTCTTTAACCTCCTGTCCCAGTCACAGTTTCACTGCTTGAACTAAACACATGTACAACCATGCTCTCTGCTGAGGTGATGCTAGACCTCTGTTCCAAGGGTATCCACGGAGAAGCAGGGGAGAGTGGTGTGGTCCTTAGGGAGCCTTCGTGGGATTAGAAGACGGCGGCCCTGCAGGCAGATGTGGCCCTGGTGCTGGAACAGGCTGGATCGCAACCTCCACTTGCCAGGGCAGGGCACCCTGTGTGGGACACAACCTGCTTAGCCAGAATGGTGACCCTCACTCGACGTGTCACTTGGTTTGCCTCCAAATGAAAATAGGTCTGTTTGTCCTATTTCGAAGCAGAGTCCTGGACAAGGTTTTGAAATCCCTGGTAGCCTGCTGATGTAGTAATCATTGTACATATAAAAAGGCTCCTACCATGAAGCTGTACAAATTGGTTTTTGCGTGACTAGGATATCCTGGATGTGTCTTTCCAAGCCAGCATGTTGCTTGAAAACATATCTGTGCTGCTTAACGTACTTGCCCTGTCTCACCGTTGAAGATTCGGAGTAATTTGCAACCTAGAATGTGTTTAAATGCTAGCATGTAAGTTTGGAACGGAATACCTAAAGCCAACAGACGACCGTGGTTTTAGTATGTGGAGGAGGGCCTCCAACTTGTTGGAGTGGCAGGACATTCTTTCATCTGACATGTTTGCTCTTGTGAAAATGACTTGAAGTATGTGGGACCTGGCAGGAGAAGAAATGGGAGGAGACCTCATTCTTGGTAGGCCTGAGTCATCTTATAAAAATTTAAATCGAGCGTTTTATTAAGCACTTTCATTGTTGGTACAAAACTATTCATCAGTCCTAGATTGCTTTGATGTACATGTTCTATATCCACATATCCTCTGCCAGGATCCTAGCATAAATCTCTCCCTGAGCAAACACTGAATAAATACCATTATGATAATTTTGCCTTTGATTTGGGGGCAGTTTTGTTTCTTGTTTTTCAACTCAGTGTTGAATATTGTTTTTGTCTTTTTAAATCTTTTTTTCAGCTTTATGGATGTGCCAACACATTATATGTGGCAGGGGTAGTATAAGAAAATATGAAATACAACCAAGCATATGCAATACTTTGTGATTTTAAAACTAATGGACATTCTCTGGAGGTCATTTTTGGGTCTCTCAGTAGGAATCGGATTTGAATATGGGAGCAAGTAATCGCTCTGTAAATGTTTGTTTTGAAATGGAAATCGCTGAATGTGTTGCATCTAATAGGATTAGTGTGTTATGCCCATTGCCAGGTTATAAAAGGCAGCTGCTGAGTGTTGTCACTGAAAAGAATATAACATGTCCAGCAGATTGTTGCCTATAAAACACATTCGTCTATATAGAGCAGTGGCTGGGTTTCTCAGGCCAGTTGCACTCTAAACTCTGCCTCACGGGATGCCCTGTACCTTTGTAGTCATTCCCAACTCAGCATCTTGCCACTTGTATTAGTTTGCCAGGGCTGCCATAACAAAGCACCACAAACTGGGTGTCTTTCCAGGAGCAATGTCTTCCATTTCTGGAGACTGGAAGTCCATAAAGGTTGGAACCTACTGAGGACTTCAAGGGATGGACCTGTTCTAGGCTCCTCTCCTTGGCTTGCAGATGGCTGTCTTCTTTTTCAGATCATCTTCCTTCTGTGCACATTTCTGGGTCCAAATTTCCCCTTTTTATAAGGACACTGGTCGTATTGGAATACGACTCACCCTAGTGATCCCATTTTAACTTTATTATCTCTGAAAAGACCCTATCTCCAAATAAGGTCTGGGGTACTAGGGTTGGGATGTCAACATATGAATTTGGGGGGAGACACAGTTCAGCCCAGTAGAACACGTATAGTAGAGCTTTGATACAAATTAACCTCAGAAATCTAGCAATATTCATTTGGAGATCTTCTATAAGTCACCAAAATAAATCTATAAATTAGCTGAATTTTCACCTCTTTTCCTGACCCAGCAGAGCACCTCATGTTGGTGGTGTTGGTTCTGCAGATAGCAGGGCTCTCTCCTCACTCATTTCATGAGTCACGAGATCAAAAAGTGTTAAGTAAATGAAAACAAAGATGAGAGCAGCACCTTTAATAAGGGGACTTCAGTCACTCCCTTCCTATCCAAGTCCATGACCTGTAAAATGTCTAACCTGTTCCAAGTTTCAAGGATTTAAAATATAATAACACGGTGACCCGTGATGTGTTTTTACTTGACACATGTTTTAGTCACACTGTTCTTGCATATCCTTCATTTTCCACATAAGCCTTGTGTAGCTGAGCGGTTTTGACACCCACAGTTCCAATGCTTTGGGCTGACGGTTTATGTCAAGTGCTGGCAGCTTGTGATGCTGTCCAGTGACCCCTTCAGAGCTGTAGATCCTTGAGCTGAAGGATGTCTTCCTTTTCTCCTCTGGGCCTTTCCAAGTTCCTGGGAGATCAGGCATCTTCCAAACCTCTTCCTCTGAAGACCGCGGGGTCCTGTCATACTTGTCTGCCCCGCTCTGTGTTTTAAGCTGACCTCACGCCCTGTTCCCCAATGTGCCATGTGTTAATGTGGCGGGTATGGATCTTCTTAGGCTTCCGGGTGTTGAGGCACTACTCTAATTTTGTTTCTCTTAGCCTCAGAGACAGGGATGAATGGGATCTTCTCTCCTGTCTCTACTAAATAAGTCAACTTTTGTCTCCCATCAAGTATATCCTAAAATGTCAGCAATCTGTTAACAAAACTACCATCACTGTGGAAATAGAATTTAGGGCTGATTAGATACCACATGACAGCTTCCTTATGCCTCTGTGAGCCTGTAACAGTATGGAAGGAGACGAGGTCAAGGTGCTTTCTGACTCTGTGGGAAAGGCCCTGTAATAGTTACTATTAAGATAAAGTAGATTATAGTATATATACTAGAGGCCCAGTGCACTGGGGAGCAGAGTCCCTCAGCCTGGCCTGCGCCCTCTTGCAGTCTGGGACCCCTCTGGGGATGTCTGCCTGCTGGCTTAGTGAGCCTAACCCGGCAGTTGGACATCCCCCGAGGGGTCCTTAGCGCTGCCTGCTTGCTTGCCAGCCAGCCGTGAGCCCAGTTTCTGGCTGAGTGGTGCTCCCCATGGAAGCCCACTGACCACCAGGTGGCAGCTCCTGCGTTGAGTGTCTGCCCCCTGGTGGTCAGTGCACGTCATAGTGACCAGTCGTTCTGCCATTCAGTCAATTTGCATATTAGGGTTTTATTATATAGGATTTCCCTAAGATAAAAGGCCAGTTCTTTCTTCATTAAAAAGCCAACTCTCCTTTCTTTCTGTCCTCCCCCCAGTCTGAGTATCTCGCTGGGTAGCTCAGTTGGTTGGAATTTCATTCCATACACCAAAAGGTTGCAGGTTTGATTCCAAGTCAGGGCACATACCTAGATTGCAGATTCCATCCCTGTTCCAGGAGCATAAGGGAGGCAACCAATCAATGTTTCTCTCTTTCTCTATCTCTCTCCTTTCCTCCCTCCCTCCCTCTGTCTTCTTCCTTCTTTTCCTAAAATCAATAAACATATCCTTGGGTGAGTATTTAAAAAAGGGTTCTGCATAGTTTTTGGAGAGCTTGTCTCTTTTTACTGTCACAGTCCTAGGGCACTAATGCCCCAGATCTCTCGGTGGGGTGAGCACTTAATAAACGTTATTTGCTTTTCTCACTTCTTTTTCTTCCCTGTTTCTCCGCCTCCTCCCTCCTTTTTTTTCTTTCTTTCCTTTTTATGTCCTTATCATCATTGTTGTTGTTTTTAGCATAATTTGTAGGGTAGGAGAGGTCTGTCATGAGAAAGTATTTATGGAACCAATGAAGGGTGCTGAGCTCTGGACTTCATATAGAGCAGAAGGTAAGCGTAAAAGTCCCACACACGATGTTCTCAGCTGGTATCTGGCAGAGACAGAAAATGTAGTTGCTTGGAGCCGATATTTATGGAGCCCTTAAAATGGACCAGGCATATGCAAGGCACCTCACACACATTTTCTCAAACCATTTTCTGAACTCTGCAAACTCAAAAGAGCTGCTCCCTTACATTGAAAAGATTGTAGCTCTAAAATAAACCGTGGGGCTGTAATATATAGCATAGGAATATAGTTAATAATATTGTAATACAACTTTGTACAGTGAAAGTTTCTAGACTTATCGTGGAATCACTTGTAAGGTATATAAATGTCAAATCACTTATGTTGTGCACTTGAAACTAATTTAATATTATATGTCATCTATAATTTTTAAATAAGTAAATTAATTACAAAGAAAAGATTACAATCCTGTGCTCTGATTTATAGGGTAGAAATTGAGGGAGGACATAAAGGATTTCTGTCACTCTTGTGTTGCACTAATATTCTATGGAATTTTTCTTATACTCTGATTAATGGCTATCTCTCTGTCTTTGTTTTCAGAACCATTTGTTTGTTTTTCACCCCCCCCCCTTTTTACGGTAAAATTGACATACAACATTTTATTAGTTTCAAGTGTACAACATAATGATTTGATATTTGTATATATTATGAATTGATCACCACAATAAGTGAAGTTAACATCTATCACCATACATAGTTACAAAACTACTTTTTCTTGTGATGAAAACTTTAGTAATACTTTAAACAATAAAGAATTTTTTAAAAAAGAAAAAAACCTTTAAAGTTTTACTCTGTTAATGACTTTCAAATATGCAATACAGTGTTCTTAACTATAGTCACATGGTGTGTATTACATCTCCAGGACTTCTTTCTTTTATAACTGGAAGTACCTTTTGACCCTCTTTACCCATTTTGCCAT